TGATTCGCGTGGTCGCAGGCAGCAAGCATGCGGTGCACGGGTAGAAGAACTCTCGACGACGATGGCTGATTCGCGTGGTCGCGGGCAGATGCTTGCGCAGGCAGCAAGCATGCGGTGCACGGGTGGAAGAACTCTCGATCTCGCGCCGAGATCTGCGAGCGCGCGGCGTGCTGTGCGCGGCTCTCGACATCGCGCTGGGCTCCGCGAGCGCGCAAGCGTGCACTGCGCTGGGGCGTGCGGGCGTGCGGGCATGTGCATCCGACTCGACTAAGGTTCGAAACACTTGGTTCGAAATAGTTCGTGCGAATGACTCGACTTGGCTCATAATTGACTTTGGAACACTCGTCTCGACTCTTCTCATGCATCCTTGAAGTAAACCTGAAATTTTACCATAAAACACGTGACAAGTACGCCAAAATATAAAATAAAAATGAAAATATAAAATCACACAAAATGCGATAAAATAGACCGGTCGACACAAAAACGAACCTAGAACCGACTTAATAACACAAATAAACACATAAAAATAAGCACAAAAACATAACAAACAGACGACTTAAGGCCGAGCTCGTGCTATTCAAAGGGTGTGATTGCTTAAATCTGAACACTCGGAGCTCGGGTGTTTGTCAAATGGTGTAACAACTTAAAGTCCGATATCTCAGAGCTCGGGTGTTATTCAAAGGGTGTGATGGCTTAAATCCAAGCTCTCGGAGCTTGGGTGTTTTTCAAATGGTGTAACAACTTAAGTCCGAGATCTCAGAGCTCGGGTGTTGTTCAAAGGGTGTGATGGCTTAAGTCCAAGCTCTCACGGGGAGCTAGATGATATAGCACATAGGAGTAGCTCGGTGAAACGGGCAAAAGTAAGCTCGGGCCAAGAATCGGAAGTAGCTAGGCTGGTAGCAAGGCTTGGGAGCGCTAGTAGCTCGGCTTAATAGTAGCTGGGCTGGTAACAAGGCTTGAGAGCGTTAGTAACTCGGCTCAATAGTAGCTCGACACAATAGTAGCTCGGCAAGGTAGTAGCTTGGAACTGTAAGAGCTAGTCACAGTAGCAGCTCGTTACAGTAAGAGCTCGACAAGTAGTAGCTCGGCGAGGGGCAGGCCTGAGAGTGTGGAGAGCTCATCACAGTAGTAGCTCGTTTTAATAGTAGATCTGAAGGCTATGTAGCAACGCGGAAGTCGAGGCGGTACAATAGTGATAAATATGAAAGGACGGCCACGATATTCGAGAAATGTTTTTTCGAGAGGTAGCTCGGTCAAGATGTCGAAAGAATGGCTCGGTCGAAAAAATAGAAGAACAGGCCCGATTAAAAAATTAGAAAGACAACTCGTTCGATCATGAGTATTATTATTATCTAAACAAGTCTATTGGGCTTGGGAAGCAATAGCTCGTTTGATAATGGGGGGCTAGATGATATAACACATAGGAATGGCTCGGTAAGGCGAACATGGACCTGCTCGGTTTACTGAACTGGAGTTAGGCCATAGGTCCGATCGAAGTAGTAGCCCGACATAGTGAGAATAATGGTATCTTGACACAGTAAGAGCATTATTAGCTCGGCTTAGAAGGAGCACTACGTGCTCAGTCTGTTAGAAACGAGCACGGATATCTCGGCTCAAAAGGAGCACTACTATCTCGGTCCCGAGGGTATAGTAGCAACAGGATATAGTAAAAGCTTTGTATAAGAAGAGCTACGTACAAGAGAGCTCGGTACAGGGAGAGCTCCGTACATGGAGAGCTCGGTATAGGGAGAGCTCGATATAAGGAGAGCTAAATAAAAGGAGAGCTCAGTATAAAGAAAACTAGGTACAAGAAAAGCTCGATACAGGGTTAGCTCGGTATAAGGAGAGTTCGGTACAGGGAGAGCTCGGTATAAGGAGAGCTAGCTACAGGGAGAGCTAGGTATAAGGAGAGCTCGGTAGAGGGAGAGATCGGTATAAGGAGAGCTAGGTACAAGGAGAGCTCAGTACAGTGAGAGCTTGGTATAATAAGAGCTAGGTACATGGGAGCTCGGTATAAGGAGAGCTAGGTACAGGGAGAGCTCAGTATGGGGAGAGCTCAATGGGATGGAACCGAATTAAGCTTAGAGAGTATAACGGAGAGACCCTACATGTGCTAATCGACTTGTGGAGAGCTAAGAGCCAGGCTAGGATGGAAGTTATGAAAAGTGACCCACATGGGACACGTGTAGGGCCAAGATGAAGAAAGGAACAAATAATCTGACGGACAAGGAACAAAGCGTACAAAGGATGCTAATAACTCCATATAAATAGGTGAGATGGGGAGGACGGTAAGCGATCACACTCTACAAACTCTAACAATACATACAATTGCATATAATTTTCCTCTATCCTTTACTGACTTGAGCGTCAGAGGTTTACTGCCGAGAACACCTTCTGTCTTATGAGAGCAAGCGGTCACGGGTCCGGGAGAGCCCGTTCAATGTGTAAAAGCCCATAAAAAAGGATAAGTAAAAAAAATGGGAGAAAGAAAAACAACCAAAAGGGAAATAAGGGGAGGGTTGGGTGTCCGAAGGCCGTAGACCAGTCGCCGGCGACGGCCGGTTAGTGACAAGGCTAGCAAACGGAAAGAGGAGAAAAAGGATTAGTAAAAATGAGGTGGGAGTATCTAGAGAGAGAGAGAGAGAGCTAGAGGAAGAAGAGAGCATATTTTAGAAAAGCAACAATAACATTTTTAATTGTTATTTACTAGTGTTTGAACTTGTGACCATTTTGTTGCTCGATCTGTACTTTTCTTAAGTTTTATACTATTAGTTGTTTATATCAAGAACAACTCAATTTTTTCTCTCTCTAAAAACCAAAAACCCCTTTCCGTCGTGTCTTCGTTTTCTGCCTCCTCCTGCGTGAATCTCCCATCCGGAGGCCCTTGGCCTCGCGATTCCGGCGAACATCTTGCTCGTCTTTGGTATGCAGGTGCGGTGGCGGTGGCTTCGCGAAGATCCAACCCGGAAGCGGTTCCGCTTGTTTTCCTGAAGCGCCACGGAGGGAGTGTTTGAGGCGGGATGCGACCGCTGCTGTGTCCGGCAGCCACCGTTGAAGTACTTGTGGAGATCTTCAGTGGAGGTCAGGCCTTGGTTCCCCCCTTTACCTGGTTTTCCCTGGTGTCGTCAGGCTTGGTCCTCCGGCGGCGGCGGCGGCGAGTCTTTAGCGGCGGCAGAGTGTGCTGGAGGGGGGCTGTGGTGTGTACTAGCCTGGGCGCTTAGGCGGTCTCGGATGGAGACTTCAATTTTGTGGTCCGTCCATGGTGAGCCTGCTTATGGAATTGTCGGGCTTGTCGGGTTGGGCTGAAGATCTTGAGGTCGCTTGCTTAGATGTTCGTTAGGCTTTGTTTGGCTTTGGGTTAGTGCTCCGGCCGGCAGGGGAGGACTCTGTTTTGTTTAGGCTTGTTTTTCTTTGTATTTGTTTTTAGTTGTTGGGTATTAGGTTAGAGCTTTGGTATGTCTTTTGGCTCTCCTGTGTGGGAGTTTCTTCCTCCACTAGTTAGGAGTTTCTGCCTCCACTTGTTGGAGTTTCTGCCAAAGTTCTAAAAACCGGACATGCCATCGCACTGGTGAAGCTACTGGTTAATGGTTCACTTGTCAGACCAGTGGTAGAACCGGTTTAACTAATATAATTTTTTTATTTATTTTATATGTATAATATATAATTATACATATTTATCATTAATTTTATAGAATATAAATTTTATAGCATATAATGACATTTTAAGCAATACTAATTACTAAATTATGTTCACTAAACAATAGATTAATAATTCAATATCTAAAGCAAGGCAATCCAAATTGCAAATACAAACTACAAAGTCATCAAATATCAAAATATATCCAATCCAACATTACAATTCATCAAACATGCATCAAAATACTCACTCTTTTTATTCTTTTCCTTTTGATTGATTTTTTTTATTTATTTCATTAAGATTCTTTTTTTCAAATTTTAGAACCGATCGAATCGGTACGGTTCACCGATTTTACCGGTTCTTGTTCCCAGCGGTTTAAACACTTAAACTGGACCAGTACTAGGTCCGATTCCCGATCGAACCGGTCGGTCCAGTCCGTTTTTGATAACATTGGTTTCTGCCTCCACGCTGTTGGAGTTGTTTGTTGTTTGTTTTTTGTGTTTTGTGTGTGTTGGCCTAAGGTTTTGATAACATTGGTTTCAAAACCGGTTCTTGTTCCCAACGGTTTAAATACTCAAACCGGATCGATACTAGGTCCGATTCCCGGTCAAACCGGCCGGTCCGGTCCGGTTTTGATAACATTGGTTTCTGCCTCTGTTGGAGTTGTTTGTTGTTTGTTTTCCGTGTTTTGTGTGTTGGTGGAGTTGTTTGTTGTTTGTTTTCTGTTTTCGTGTTTTGGTCTAAGGTGGTGGAGTTGTTTGTTTTCCGTGTTTTGGTCTAAGGTGGAGTTGTTTGTTGTTTGTTTTCCGTGTTTTGTGTGTTGGTCTAAGGTTTTGATAACATTGGGTGTTTTGTGTGTTGGTCTAAGGTTTTGATAACATTGGTTTTGCCTCACGGAGTTGTTTGTTGTTTGTTTTCCTTGTTTTGTGTTTTTAGGCCGCTTAAACTCTATGTAGATCTCCCACTTAGTCTTTTAGCTGGATTTTTCACTCTCTGTAGCTCTCCCACTTTTAGAGCTGGCTTTTTCAGCGATTTCGCTGTCTTGGTGTTTGTATTTTGTGTTTCGTGATATAAAATCGATCGTTGGATAAAAAAAATACTATTAGTTTCTTATCGTTGAAAAAAAATAAAAAATAAAATATACTACTATTGCTAATTCAGCTTTTTATTTATTTATTTATTTCTAAAAATAAAAAATAAAAATACAAATACAGACCTCCACGCAACACTGTCACAAACTAGATCGCACCAAGCCACCCGTACAGCACACAACATAATTACTAAAACCCAACAGAGAAAATTTAGAAAGAAAAAAAGACATTGAACAAAATAACAAGTAAATAGTAGACATGATAAGCCCATATCAAGTAGTAGCCGTATGGGTGTACTGTTCTGCCCTGTCCTTCATCTCCCTGGCCTTCCCTGTCACCTTATCCCTGGCGGTGTCCAGCTGCTCTGCCCCCGCGGGCTTCTTCCCCGTCACGTAGCGGTATATCCACGTCAGCACGCTGATGGCCGCCACACCAAACCCCCCTGAGGCCACAAACCCCGATGCCACCAGGAAAGCCGTTATCACCGCCGGCACCAACACAGGGCTGAAGATCACCAGCAGCGGGGTGGCCAGGGTGAGCGCCACCACGGTGCCGGCCAGAGTGAGGCCGGATAGCACCAGGAGAGAGCCTCCGGCTGTGGCTGCGGTCGTGGCCTTGACTACCAGGTGGCTCAGCGGCTGCCGCTTCATCTGCTGGTGATGGGTGTGGCTCAGAGGGACCGATATTTGCTGCCCCGCCATATCGATTCAAAGGATTATTATTATTATTATTATTATTTAATTAGGAATGTTGGTGTGTGAGATTTGAAGTTTGAGGAGATAATAAAATTGTTTAAATAGGAGGGGGGGAGGGGGCACGTGTAGCCGAGGTTGGCATGCAATGGGTTGCATGGGGTGATTAGGCGTTTTTATATTGAAACGTGGCTATTTTTATGGGTTTGGAGGTGCCAGATATCGTGTCAAATCGGACGGTGGTGGTGATGCTGGTTGGTTTTACTGATTGTTTTGGACGGATGTGGTGGTGTGGGACAAGGACGAGTAGATCGAGGTTGCATAAGCTGCGTCCCACGGTTTTCTTGCTGTCTTTTTCTTTATGAAGAATAATAATAATAATAATAATAATAATAATAATAATAATAATAAATTGAAATATGTCGTGATTATATATAGTGTCGAAAAACATTGAGTTGTGCTTTTTCATTTGGTTTCGCGTGAGTTTTAAGAGGAAGACAAACGTGAATGTAGTTACTCATCTATTGTCATCTATACATTGGACTTAGCATCATCGAGAGGGGCTTTAATTTGATTATTTATTTGATTTCATAGAGGAGATATGAGATTGATGTTAATTTCTTAGTGTTTATGTTTTCCCAAGTAGATACCATGAATTTAAATTTAATGGTTATTTTACTTATGAATTAATGATTTAATATTAGCGTATATCTTTGTTTTCTAACATTTTTAACTAATCCACAACTGTACGGATTATCTATATATAGTTGGTGACGAGAAAGATCGTATTTCATACATATTGGAGTTCCATCAATCGAATACGACGATTATGACAATTTTGAATTATTTAGACGAGTTAAGAGTGAATTAATGATCTATTAAAAATAAAAGTTGAGCTAAAAACATTTGGCAACTAACTGCAGAATAAATGAAAATTAAGCAAGAAGAAAAAATGGATCATTGGCCCATGTATTCCTTGAAATTAGTACATGAAAATTAATAATTCAAGCAAACACTACCAAAAAAAAAATAAATAAAAACTGCATTTAACGACGATTTTTTTTTTTTATTTGGTGACGTTTATTAGTGTCACAAATTAATTTACCTACATTTGCACTTTTTATTTGGTGACGTTTATTAGTGTCACAAATTAATTTACCTACATTTGCAAAAGTGTAACGAACTGTGTTGCTAAATTTGATGTCACGAATTTATTTGTGACATAACCTAGATGCGTAGGTAAATTGTAATCTGCGACAGTTTTTCAAAAGTGTGTCGCTAATACATAATTTCGTGACGCAATATATTATTGTTAGTAAGTTTCAATGGGTGACTCTTTTTTAAGTGCAACATTATTATTACGCGTTCTGACATAAAATTTTACGTCGGTAAATAACAATGCACGACGTTTTTTTATAGCGTCATTGATATGGATTATTGCGACATGAAATTGTATTGTTGGTAATTTTCAATGCATTACACTTTTTTAAGTGCGTCGTTATAAATTTTGGTGACGCAAAGTTTTTTTTATAGCGTCATTAATATGGATTATTGCGACATGAAATTGTATTGTTGGTAATTTTCAATGCATTACACTTTTTTAAGTGCGTCGTTATAAATTTTGGTGACGCAAAATATGAGCGTTCAGAAATATCAATATGCGACATATTTTTAATGCGTCGTTGTTACGTAATTGGCAACAATATTATGTTAGGATTTTAGTAAGACTTGCTAACACTAACTAATTAACTAATGTCACTAAGTTGGTGGTAATTGTAATAAAACAATGTCGTTAATGGTAAGACTCTTATTTGAATAGACATTTTAGTGTCGTCAAAATTATGCCGCCCATAATAATAGTCATGAAATTAGTTACACATAATTATTTCCATCTATATACTAGAGATTCCATAGTGAAACAAAAATTAATATAATGAAACTCAAACAATGATAGCATCCACAATTAATATAGAAAAATAAATAAAATGTTGAAATTTAAATAACATAATAAAAGAAACCACATAATTGTCTAATAAAATAATTCCGAATAATCAGAAATATAGAATAAACAAGCCAAGTGATGATATTCGTGCCAGTCATAAGCTCCTTATATTAAGTCCAAACCTGTTTAAAAATAAAAGAACAAAAATTGGTATCAATTTCTATTCATCCAGTAACAATATGAATACTAGACACAATTTCACATGAAATATTTAAATGTAAATATGTTTCACAAGAAATCGTGTTTTTCCAGCACTTTCTAAAAAGTCGGGCATATTCTACAAAAAAAAAAAA